AAGTGGTTCAGTGTTATTAATGGTTAGGTGCACTGAGTAATGTTCCTACTTTTCGTAAAAAGTAGACTTACGCATCCCCATTTGCCCAGATACTGTGTTTTCTCTATCTTTTTTATTAATCACTTCACCATGGCATATCCTAGCTGCTGAAAAACTGGTAACAAGTTTGAAGTCTCCAAATCAGCAACATTTTCTCCTGGAATCGAATACGGCTACATCTTCCTCGACTAGTCCATCTCTAAAGTCATGAACGTAATTATTCCAAGACGCATGACTATCAACTGGAATGACGCAAACATCGACGGCTGCAATTAGTGCATTTTCTGAAGTACATTTACTGACAAGGTATTTCCTGCAAGTTACACACTAAACATAAAACCAATTTATCTTAATTTCTCTTAGATTCTCTCAGGTTTACGAATGAGGTTGGCAAAACAGGCTCCTGCTGAAATTTTCTCAATTTCATCAGAATGAAACAATTTTATTTGTGACAGTTTGCTCTTGGTTTTTTCGATCTTTTGATGACCAATCCAAGCAATTTCCTTCATTTCTAGAAGGTTTGTGTCATCAAATATCTTTCATGCTAAACTAAAACAACTGATCAACCTTTCGTCTGTGTCGTGTTTCACTGCAGTATCTCTTCATTATGAAATGTCATATGCTCGTTCTTTAACTGTCCATCACGATGGTGTATCGGTATATGCTGCATTCAGTTTATACTCACTTGACACCGCTACATCAGAGTAATGAAGTCTTTTGTAATGAATGGAAAATCTTTCCCGCAAATCGTAAGATTTATACTCGGTCAGCTTTCCAACTCAAAATCAATTTGCTAGACAATTTCTACAAGTTAACTTCAGCTCCAATTTCTACTTTTGAAATAGTGATCTCATCATATTATTGAACTAGATTTGCATGTATTCGCGACGATTGAATACCTTCAAATTCCCCACAACGTTTAACCAAGAACAACAGTCAGATACGTACATACTTGGCAAGTCTAGCCGCGTAACATTTTGTAGCTTGTCTGCTTCTGTGGAAGTTTTGGTTTGTTGCTAATCGGAACATACATTCAGCTCTTACCATCAGCCTTCGATGGTTTATTTAACATCTGTTTGTTAACAGTACTTTCACGTATTTTGCTTTGCAGATCCGGTCTCTTACCTGCTTTCACTTGCCCAGGGCAATCTTTTGCAAGGAGCTTTAATTTCCATTCATAGCAAATTTGGGAATTTAGTCCCATTCTTTGTTTTCCACTTTCTTTTTCTTCCCCTTTCAAAGGTTTCATATACTTGTCTAGTTTTTCTTTGCGTACGGAGCAAATAATGCGCGGCCTAAAAAAACCTGGTAAGCGTTGTACAATTACTCTGACCTGATTGTGTCCCAGTAGCGGTGCGAATTAACAGACCCAGCTGAAGTTCGTGAATATGGGATCTCAGACAAATGTACAGAACCATCATTTTTTTTCCTCGGATTTTATTCCTCCCTCCCACCCCACTAACTGTACAGAAGTACAAATGGGGCAGTATCATGCGGCTGATCCGTCTACTGTACTCCATACACTTCAATTGGTAATGAAACAAGTGTATGCAAAAGTATTTATTAAAACATTCATCTGCTATTGATGAGCACTCATTTGAAAACGTACAATTCCTGTCTGGGTAATGATCACAGACGGAATCCAATTGTTTTTCAGGTTCGTTACAATTGCTGCGTCTTTGACGTGCGCATGATCAAGAACTAAAACGTACGGCACACATGACTTGTAGAATCGCCGAACTTTAGTCCAATGTCACTTTTATGTAGCTCCTGACA